AGGGAAAGAAATGCCTGATGTGGAAAACGAATGTGTTTTTTTCAGTTGTTATGATGGGAAGTATTTTATTTTGAGTTGCTATTCTATAGCAACATTAACTTAGTACATACCTTAGTACATACCTCTTTTCTGGCGGAGACTCCCAGACTTTTGATGTAATTCTTTACTGTTTGTTCATCAGTTCATGTACACTACTTTTTGGTTCTATATGAATTGTTTATGTTGTAACATAAGTAGAAAATATTTCCGAAATAACTTTTCTGCAAAAATCCCCTCAAAAAATAACTGGCATTTGATGAGTACTCCTGACTAGTGTAAGGGTTGCTAAAATTGTATAATATGTTATTTTAATAAATGTCCCAAATAAAAAATATTATTAGAATAAGATATGTGTATTGAATGAATGCTCTATGTTAATATGCCTGGCAGATTTGTATTATGCTTCACCTATGTGAGCTCCTGTTGCTGAAAGGAGTTGATGTGTGAAGAAAAATTAAGTACTGTGTTTCAATCACTAATGCTGTGAGAGAGGAAGACAGAATAAAGAGAGAAGGAAAAAGTAGGTTGAGAAGAACCCAGGCTAATCTGATCAATATTGACACTCAGAATGGTGTGTAGAGTGTCTTAATCAGATAAATGAGCAGGTATGGAATATCTGTGGACAAAGTATAGTAATAAAACCGAGTTGTATGTGTGTATATGTATGAATGAATGAAGTTTGAGAGGTTTACTGCCGCAGAGGAGAGCAAAAGGGCAGAACCAAAAGTGACTACTTTATACTCATATCTATGGCAAGCTAATGGAATAATGCTCTGTAGTTTATCCTCTGTAGTTTATCTAAACTGTGTATAGTACACAACCCAAGATTTTTAGTAAAGTCATTGTAGTAAAAGTAATTATTGGGCTTGAGTGAACTGAGTGAGCTATATTGTGTGAACATGATGAAGGAGGGATGCCATGGTGAGGGGAATACATGACAAGCTCTCTTCTTTGGGTAGTTACTCTAAGAATATTTGTTTCTGTTGTAGTCTTGTAGGTGGGAGCCTCAAAGAAGAGAATTAGAGAGTTTGTGCATCTGGGTTTGTTTCTCTCACTTTCCGTCATCTCTTTTGTTTTTTCTTGGCTTTATTCTCCCTTACGGCAGTCAGGCTTTCTCCATGAAACAGGCAAGATGGCTGATAACTTACTCTAATTCCCTTCCTTCTAGCTTCATGATCTCTCTTCACTTCATCTCTAAAACATAAAATCTCATGGAATAATAATAATTTAAAAGGACTGCATAGTTCAATTAATTGATAATAGTTCCCTATTTCCTGATATTATTGACTGTTTATGTAGTACATACACGCAAATGTGAAATGACTCAGATGAATTTATTACTTTAATTACAACTGGCTAGACAGCAGGTGGAATAATAACAGATTATTTCTGTCTTTCCATACTTTCTTCTTTCTTAAAAAGAGAAACTTCACTGCTATCAGTCAAAAAGGGAAAAGGAGTCAAAGATTCTCATTCCCTTTTCCATTGTAATACCTCAACTGAGGAATATTATTATAGAGGCATATAAAAGTTTAATGGGAGCACTAACAAAGTATTTTAAAAAGAGGTGATCCTTGAAATGAAGCTTTTGTTAAGGGAAAAAAAAGCAGGAAAGGAGGAAGGGAGGGAGCAAAGAAGGAATAACAGAGAGAGAGGGAGAGAATGATTGATTATGAGAATGAATAGAAACTCCAGGGGTAGAAACTCAGTTTGGCTGAAGATGAATGAGAGTCTACGAGATTAAAACTAGTGATTAAAACAAAATTTTGATATCCATGTATTTCATTTATCAAGAACACATTGATACATGACACTGATGGTCAGAGTGAAAAAATGAATGATTGCATTGTCTACTTATATTAGTTTTATATTGCCGTGTAACAGATTACCACAAACTTTCTTAAAACAATACGTATTTATTATCTCACAGTCAGGATTTTGGTCACAGTTTAACTGGTTCCTTTGCTCAGGATTTCCCAGGATTGCAAGTCTGAGTGTTGGCTGGGGATTGCATTTTCATCTGGAGGCTTGACTAGGGAAGATTGCTCCAAACTAGTTCAGGTTGTTAGCAGAATTTGTATCCTTGTGTTGTATGACTGTATATCCTGCTTTTTGCTGGGAGTTGGCTAGTTTCCATTTGCACCTTCCATCATCGGTCTATTACGGTCTATTGCCCACTACATTGAAATTTCCTTTTCTGCATGGGAATCATACTCAATTAGTTTAGTTCTGTCAATTTAGAGATGTAAAATCTAAAGCTCAGCTGAGTTGTGATTTATCTAAGGTCCTAAATCTACATGGTGATGGGCCTCCTGACAACCAGGCATTGTGTTCTTTCTACTCCTCGCCTTAGTTTTGACTTTCTTGATTTTCTTCTCACATTAAAAAAAATTTTTTTCCAGTTTTATTGAGATATCATTGACATACAGCACTGTGTAAGTTTAAGATCTACAGCATAATGACTTCACATTTGGTTTTAGTTTGTATTGCTGTGTTTATTAAAAATATGATGGAATAACATCTTAGCACTGGCCACCTAGGAACTGACATTAAAATGTTTGAAAATATTTTTTTCTATATGGCTTGTAGGTATATGACTTTTGATCATTTAATTGTTCTCTCATCATGAACTTTTATATATATATATTTTTCTCAATTTTTATTAAGAGGAGGAACAAAATTTTTGTTTCCTTTGGTTATGGTTTATGTTGGTATCTGCAGAGACTAAACGTGAGATTGAAAGTGAGATTTAACACCTGCAAAGGAAAAGGCTCAATGAAATAATGACAGTTGAGTCCTATATATGAACTCCTTTTGGATTTTTCAGTGGAAGATTGTTGGTTGTTGGTTGTGAAGACAAACAGGCAGGTAAAGAAGCTTGCTAATCAGAAGTCTGCCTAAGTATGCTTCCCTAATGAGTTTCCTAAGAAACACCTGCTTGGGACTCAGCCCACATTAGGAAGAAAACGACAAAAGAAAAGCTAGGAGAGACCTATTTATTTCTTTTCTAGATGTTTTAAGAGTTTAAAGTTTTAAAATACTATTCTTTGAGAGTAAGGAGAATTAAATTACCTTTACCCAGCTGGGA